CCCCCCCCCCCCCCCCACACCACATCATGCTTTGACATCCTTTAAAGGGGATAAAGCGTTACTTAGGGGGTAATTCTTTAATTCACCCTGTAACCCGCCATGCTCTTAACGCTGGTGTGTGTGTGTGTGTGTGTGTGTGTGCTCTAAGCTACATGATTCACCCTTCTCTTTAGCTCAGCCAATAACACTGCAGATCACCTACAAGGGCTCTGATTGGTTCTTCTTTCCGCCACAGAAGCTCCAAAACCGAGAGTGACCGAAATTCCTGCCAACAAGCCGTCGATCAGCAGGACGAGTGCGGCGGTGCTGCGGGACTGCTGCGGGGCCACGAGCTGCGCCATCATGTGAAGAGCAGAGTGTGTGGAAGCCACACACACACACACACACACACACAGAGACACATACACACATACATGCAAGCACACACAGAGACACACATGCATGCACACACACACACACACACACACACCAGATCGCAGAACAACTCTGCTGAAAAACATACACACACACACTGACCCACAGCTGAACCGTCTCTCTCTCTCTCTCTCACACACACACACACACACACACACACACACACACACACACACACACTCTGGAGGCTGTGTGTGTTAAAGCCCAGTGTAGTAATGCAGAGTTGTAGCACAGTGTGTGTGTGTGTGTGTGTGTGTGTGTGTGTGTAACCCGTGACACTTTAATAAACCCATTCATACAAACTTAAATAACTGCTGATTACTTGAGTTACTGTGATTAAACAGACAGCACACACACACACACACACGCATGCACAAACACACACACACAAACACACGCACACACACACACACAAACACACGCGCACACACACGCGCACACACACAGGACGCAGGAGATGCTTCAGATATTTATTCCACATGACAGAGAGCCGGTCGGTACATCAAACATAAACGCTCCACAGGAGACTCAAATCATACAAGACCAGCAGTGTGTTCACACACACACACACAAACACACGCACACACACACACACAAACACACGCGCACACACACACGCACACACACAGGACGCAGGAGATGCTTCAGATATGCAGCGCTGCATAAACACTTCAGCTGCAGGAGGCTCCAGGACCTGAGAGAGACACTCAGAGAAACAGAAAAGACGGCCATACGGGCGCGTCACCACACGCAGAGTGTGTTCAGCAGGACACACACACAAACACACACACACACACAGACAGAAGCACCTGAGCGTGACACACACACTGCTGACCAGCGGCGTCCTGCAGCGCAGAGACTCATACAAGCCATTGTAAAAGCCCGGCTCAGCCTTCAGAGCAACACAAACACAGGTTCAGGAACACAACCTGGACCCTCCAGACCATTAGCATCACTGACTAGCATCACTGACTAGCATCACTGATTAGCATGATCTTGCCAAAATGCTTAAAAGAAGAAGCGTAGCGGCAGTCCAGCGCTGCGGCTCAAACAAGGGTTATGCACACACACTGTGCATACGAACACAACACAACACCGCTCCATTACCCATGATGCAGCTGGGCGGCGGCGAGAGCGAGACACAAACTAAACACTGCTGTACATCACAGACTCACAACACTCCAGCTGAAGCGGACGCCGCAGTCACGTGACCCCCGCGGCGCAGCGCACTGGTCAAAAGAGCTGCGTGTGTGTGTGCGTGTGTGTGTGTGTGTGTGTCCTCACATATGAACAGAATAAAGCGACTCCAGACGCTCAGCAGAGCTCCTCAACACACACACTGGAGCAGGACAGCAGAGCGCCGGACACTAGCACAGAAACACCGCGGCTCTCCTGCAGACTGAACAACACCGCTCGTGTGCTGTCACCATACACACACACATACTCGCAAACACACGCACACAAACACAAACACAAACACACGCACACAAACACACAGCTTTACACTGGCTGAGCGGCAGTGAAGCTGAAGTTAGCCGCTAGCCTGACTCTGCTGCGGGCGCTCCTGCGCGCGGGACTGTCCCACACACCCGCAGAGGGCTGAGCTGGGTCGCTCCCGTTAGCGGGTCGTGGCTGGTGGTTCACCGGCGGCTGGAAGTGCATCAGGTCGGGCGGCTGCACCGGGTCGGGCCGCAGCGCAGGAGACGGCAGGCAGGAGGGCACGGGAGCGCA